TCGGGCTGATTGGAAGTGTTTGACCTACAAACAAACACAGACAGGGACGTAACAACATAAGTTTTGTGTAGCTGTTGCGCAGCATAAATGACAAAAAAAAGCAATGAAAAAGTGATAAATTTAACCTGTCGTTTGTGTTTCCAAACATTGTAGAGTGCTCGGAGAAGCACAAATGGCGATTCGTCGTCCTTTTCACTCAGAATTTTCAGCGTCTCGTGGTACCAAAAAAAAGAATTATTTTCAAACACAGATAATTTTCGCTAGAAAATAAGTAGGGTATTTTTTTTTCTCAAAAACAAAAGCACACTTTTTCAAAACTGTAAAGGGGGAGTGTGTGGGAGAAATACAGGAAGGTATTTTTCAGATTATTGTCGGGGTCAAAACATTCCCGAAGGAGGATTCTTGCAAAAAAAGGATAATGTAATTTTTTTTATCGAGAAATTGGCATTTTGATGATAGGAAAAAACCGAAGATAACAGGTCTCTTGCAGAAAAGGATAACGGAATTTTTTTTTTCAAATTTAAAAATTAGCATTCCGATACCGAAAAAAGAGACCAAAAATGATTAAAAATACACGTAAAAATCTTCAAGTTGATATGGAACACCATGCTGGTGTAGAACTGGCAACGCCGGAAATGAGATGGTGATCCTCAATAAACACCCAGATCTTAAAAGGACTGAAGCCTTGCCAAATGCTTTTGGGAGAAGAACCTTGAGCATTCCGTCCCCGCTTCCCATCTAATTCCTCTTGTTCTTAAGCTAAGCTTTCCATCACTTATATGTGCGCAAGAAATTCAAGATTATTGTAAGAAAGAAAAAAATTAAACATGATACTTGGTCATAGCTGCAAAATTGTGACTAAAGGTTTTTTTCGCCGAATTCAACAGGACAGCGAAGAATGTCGACAGCGCCGTCAAAGCGTTGCCTTCTTGTCGACTGAATTCCTGCAAAATTTCCGTCAATTCTTCCGGTGTTGCTTTGTTTCGGAATGCATTTTCAATTTGTGCAACCAGTTCTTTCACACTTCGCTCCTCTGAAAACAAAGAAAATTAGTGGTGCATAGAGTCCCCCTTAAAGGAAGACTCATAGTATATAGATGAATGAGTAACAGTTACTCAAACGTGCAAAAAAAATTGAATAACAACTTAAAAAGGGTGCACAAAATTCGCCCAAACTATGAAAAATTCAGTTAATAAACAAAAAAACACACACACAAAATATCCCAAAAAAGTTGGCAGAGCATTGTATGACGATTCGAGAGTAATAAGACTCAAGCTGAGGGATACATCGTGGACATCGATATCTCGAAACAACTAAACGTGTACTTATGTTGGAAGAACTGTTGATCAGCGAATGTATAAACGAGGGTCACCATCGCCTTGACCATTAGGCAGTGCAAATTTGGTCAGAGCAAGTTTTAAGCTGTATGATTACAGAAGAACGCCGTGAACTACATTGATTTTGATGCTTAACAAAAATAAATGGCCAACGCACGGGCTGCCCGTGCGAAGATGCGTTTTTTGCAGAGTTCCCTGCAGGTTTTTGTCACTACCGGCATCAGTTTTTTCGGCAGATGCTTCTAGCTGAATTTCAGACTGGCCGCCAGAATTGTCAGGAAAAATCCCCTC